GAATTGTACTCTTCTGTTGATATGTGCTTGTTCACTAGTTCCAACAGCCCAGCTCATGTCTTCGGGTGTTGTAATCACAACACACAACGAAGAAGTCCTTTCTTTTGTCCCTGAGCGAGGGCCATATGAGCGAACGTAGGTTCTAGATCTCGAACCTCTAACATCTCCTTCTAAAAGCGGGTGATGACGGCTCGCAGGGTTTCATCCTAACCTTGATGAAGCTGTAGGAGAGTCTGGGAGCTCTTGTGAGGTTTTCGTGCACTGATGAACTATGCAGCGAACATACGTTTGAAATCTGCAAATAATGTGATTAGTCCCGACAATAATCCATTGAACCACCTGAGGGTTGTGACCATCAGCATGGTGAAAAAGATTCAACACTCAACACTTTAGGGCGTCATTGATCCTAGGAACACATACGGTCGACTCAAAAGAAGCGATGTGGTCAGTTGAGTCTGTCTGTCTCTTGTACGGTTCCAGTTCCGACTTCTTGAATTGTTATGGGGGCACGGCATCAGATATGTGATTGGAGAATGTGTTTTTTGGATGGCATGGTGATTCAGTATGTCTGAACCAATTGCGAACAATTAGTGCTAGCCCAGCGCTGTCAAGGTAATGGGCGCCCTCCTCCCACTCCAAGATCGGGGAGACTCTTCTGTTGTTCGGCGCCGAAGCGTGGTGTAGGGGTTGTTGATCCTACTCCAGAGTCAACAAGCCTTTGATCAACTCCAGCATTTGACACTTCAGATCTTGGATCTCTTGAACTACAAACTCCCAGGTGCACTTCACTTTATCGTCGACCTCAATGTTGTGAGGTCATTCTCCTTGCATTGTTTCTTTTCTTGTTGGTGGCGCGATCCACATTCAGCGCGCCTTTTAAAATGTTGAATCCGAAAAATTTCGTGAATAGAGCGTGAGAGGAGAGTGGAAAGAGAAATAGTGAAAGAGGTGATTTCACTATTGGAGTTATATTCCCTCAAATAAACAGTAAAAAAGGATGAAAGCCTTCTACAATAATTATTTCTCCTATTTATAGAAGATTAAGTACAGTAATAATATTATATTTTTATCCAATCAGGATGAGGTTTATAATGAGTTTTTTACATATTTTATGAGTGAAGACTCATTATCTGGTCATTTTTGGCTCGAACATCTCAAGTCTGTCGATTAAGCTTGGTTGGCTTAGCTCGGTCGATTTATCTGGATAATAGAGCTCAATTGGCTCAACTCACTCGGTTGAACTTGGTAGGCACAAAGATCCTATTTTTGGCAAGAAGCCTTTTAGTCTCCGCTAGGTGGTCAAATATGTTTTGTGGAAATAACCCTTCTCTCTGGTGGGTTCTCTTGCAGGATAAGCTTCCGTATTGAGTCGGCTTTTCCTTGGTTAAAGATTCAGACATCATGGTGAGTTTTTGGGTGAGTTTCTGGGTCGGTACCGGTTGGCCATCCTCATGTTGATTTTTGACTCAGTTAGCTTGGCTTGGCAGGCTCGATGGGTCCCGCGATCTCCTCCTTGCACAAGATCTTCCTTCATCGTGCTTATTCATTATGGACCATTAGATCCCTATGAGATCTGCACTGACATCTTTTTGATGTACAGCTTCAATCCTCTTGGGTTGTAAATTATATAGTGCACTTGATAGGGCACAAAGCCCACTATTAACTAAAGTTGACTTAAGATTATCCTCTTTTACAAATATACTGACACGTCTATAAATTTTCCATGGACAATACATCCCACGACTACAAATAAAGATCCTTCAAAAAGATTGAGTCAAGTACCTTTTATGACCATAGTCCAAAACAACCCAAGAAAACAAAACCATATGATTTTGAATAGATTTAACATCATTCTCCCCACCATCAGTATTAAACTAAAGGTAGTGAATTGTTTTAATGGAAAATCAAAAATAATGTTCCTACATGCTAAGCATTTAACATTTAATGATTAGTCTTATTTGAACATTTTGTTTTTCACCAAAAAAAGTGATTAATCATAGCGACTTATGCCAATGAAATATCTGGAACAAGAACAACAACAATAAACCTTTATCCCACTACGTGGGGTCGGCTACATGAATCTTCTTTCTCCATTGTGTCCTATTGAGTGTCATATTTTCATATAATTCTAATAAATTAAGATCATTTTTTATGCGATATGCCCAAGTCTTCCTAGGTCTACCTCTGTCTTTCTTAACAAAAGTCGAATCTAAAACATCTACTCTCATAATCGGATCATCAGATGGTCGACGTTTAATATGACCATACCATCTAAGATGATGCTCTCTAATTTTGTCTGCCAATGGAGTTACACCAACACTATCACAGATACATTAATTTCACATTGTCTCTAAGTGTAAAGCCACTCATCCACCTAAGCATTCTCATCTCAGCAACACTTAGTTTTATGCTTCTCTTTTAAAAAGGCTAACATTCAGCACCATAGAGCATTGCAGGTCTCACGACCATCTTATATAATTTTCCTTTCAGTATAAGCAATAATTTCCTCCACTTCAATCAACCAGTAACAACCCATCTATACCACCATCACTCTGAACAATAGACCCGAGATATCTAAAGCGTTCACGCTTTTTAATAATTTGATCACCCATAGTTACAGCTTTTTCACTAGAGCTATTACTACTAAAATTACAGTCAATGTATTCAATTTTAGTTCTACTCCAACAAAGGCCTTTAGACTCCAATGTAGACCTCCATAATTTAAGTCTTTCCTGTGCTCTTTTTCTAGTTTTATCCACAAGAAGAATATCATCAGCGTAAACCCTTACACCAAGGTACATCTTCCTGTAAATATCCAGTAAGAGCATCCATAACTAAAGCAAAAACATATGGGCTTAAAACTGATCTCTAAAGTCATCCAACTGAAATAGGAAAATATTGTCAATCGTCCGTTTGAACACAAGTAACAGCTCGAGTATATGTATCTTTAATAACTTGAATATAAGTTATATCAACACCTTTTTTCTCTAGAACTCTCCAAAGATAGCTCTTGAAACCTTATCGTAAGCTTTTCTAAATCATAAAAATCATATGCAGATCCTCCTTATTCTCTCTGAAGTTCTCCATCAAACCTCTCAATAAATGCATAGCGCTTCCATAGTAGACATACCTAGCAAAAATCCAAATTGATTGTGAGAAATCTTTGTAATACATCTTTGTAATACGTCTGTAATACGTCTTAACCTATGATCAATTACTCTCTCCATCAAACCTCTCAGTAAATGTATAGCTTCCATAGTAGACCTACCCGACATATATCCAAATTTATTATGAGAAATCTTTGTAATACGTCTTAACCTATGTTCAACTACTCTCTCCCATAATTTTAAATTATGACGCATTAACTTGATTATTCTAGAATTTGCACACCCTTGTGCATCCCTTTTATTATTAAAAATGAAATACCTGGAACAAGATCATTAAATCCTAATAAAATGAGGACAAAATCAATGGGCAGTCTTATCCAAGAACTAATTTATCTTTTCAAATTTTAACCTGAAACCTCTCTCAGGAGAACTGGATGTAAATTTTTAGCTTGTAGATTTTGGTGACTTGTTGGAGAAATTTTATCTTTCTATCATTGGCTAATTATATATATGTTATGGTGGCAGACAAAATTAAAAAAAGAAAAAACAAAAAAACTATTTTTTTTAACAATCACAATTACTTGAAAACCTTAGCAGACTCTTTCGGGAGAGTATAGGGTGTGATACTTGAACTAAAACGTATGAATCCACCATCAAATGGTCTAAAAAAAAAGATAAGTTTAAAAATTAACGCCTCAAACAAAATTTTTACAGACAACTAAAGGGAATTAATATAGAACATTCAACTTACAAATTTATCATTGAAAAAAATCTATTAATACTGGATGTCAAAGAAAAATGATTCCTTAGAACAATAAAATATTTTTTTTGTCATACATTTAAGGCATAGAGCTAAAGTCTGCCTAACTAATGATGTTATCAAACTGGAGAGTTTGGACCACTATCCAGTTCAATGGTTTAGAGAATATCCTCTCCAACCAAAAATTATTCACCAAACTTCATGTATCCACACCTGTCAACAAAATAGTATAGAATAAGATGAAAAATATACACCTCTCAATGTTTCTCAATCAATAATGATACTGGTAGAAAGGTTGTCCATACTACTGCATATCTAAAAAATCATTAAATGTATAACATCAAGAATCCTATAAATATCCTAAAATCAATATTGCTCCTAAAATCATACTATCTTGATTTGGATAATTCATTCCTCTGTGTACTTTTATCATGTTGGCTGCATTATAACCAAAATGGTTATATAAACAAAGGCAGACCAAGGTTGATTTAAGAGAAATTTAGGAAAAATAAATGAGAGGGAGAGACAGGGAGTAGTGGTAATGAAAGAAAAGGAAAAAAAATTAAAGAGAGGCAAATGAGAAGAGGTAAGCAATTTTTTTTTTCATTGGTGCAAGCATGATGATGCCAGAGACGAGCTTGGTGGTGTCATAGGAAAGTATAATCTTGCTAAAGTCAAGTGCAATGTCTTCGTATAAAAGTGTGGTGGTGTATAGATAAGTGGGGTGATGCCAATGGAAAGTGCAATGCCCGGTGGTGCTATAAAATATCCTTCAGCATAAATATGGATACAAAATGAAGATTGTATGTCAAATCTTCTAAGTATTTTATATTGTGGTTTGGTTACTTATTATCTTTCTTTTAATATTTATAAGATTATACAGAAGAGAAAATAACGATACATGATTCTCAATTATGGTTGGAATTTTCCTTTGAATGCCTGTAGTTGTAGCTGGGTCATTTTCACCAAAACAAATAATTTTGTAGAGGTTTATACAGTATTATTTCTGTTTGTAACTTTTTTGTTGCCAACTGAATGAAGGTCAACAACAAAGTTTATCAACCAAAGGACTTAACTAGATTAGCACAGCCAAAGAAAAGTACAAAATAGGATGGAAAAATCTCATGAAGTACCTGAAACAAGTGATCTGCTGCAAAAATGCCAATGTTGAGAAGTAAAATCCAAAATATTCCATTTGCATGTCTATACGGCACTCTTCTTTCTTCAGGTCTCCTAAGCTCAAGATCCGAAAAAACATCTAATCGAAATTAAAAAAAATAAATAAATTGTTTCAAAGAACTTGTATGATCCACAATAAAAAAAAAGAAGTGAGAGTCACCCCTTTCCAATAAATTAGAACTATTATGCTCTTTTGCAAAATGCAGCAACATTAACTAACGTGAAAAAGAAAAAAATTGAGATAACTATAATCACACAATGCATGAAATAAAGATACAAGGTAAACTGCAAACATGGGCAATAACCAGTTGATGTAACTGGTTAGTTTTGCATTTTTATCATAAAGATGCAACATTATTTTTTTCTTAATAATAAAAAAACAACGCATGCTGGTATAATTGACAAATAAAAGAAGGAAAACCATAGTAAGGAATGTGTTAAAGATGAATATTCATAGAGAACCAGGAAACGGCTCAAAGAAAACAATAAGTCAATCAAATGCACAAGGAACGACATCGGAAAAATTTTATAATACAAGAATATGTGAAAATAGAATGAGGACTTACATGATAATGTTTGAAACTTGCAATTGGCTCATAAGCACTTCAAATATGCATAAAGTTGAAAAATTAACATCTTTGATTAAACATTTTTCAAGCTGATTAAGAGCCAAGGATAACTTGCAATTGGCTCATAAGTACTTTTCAATCACACAATAAGCCTGAAGCATTCCTCCACTTCAACCAATAAACTTGAATTTTACTAATCACATCCCCATCTATATCACCATCACTTTGAACAAAAAACCCGAGATATCAAAAAAGTTCACACCTTTTACTAATTTGATCACCCATAGTTACAACTCTGTCACTAGAGCTACTACTACTAAAATTACATTCCATATATTCAATTTTAGTTCTACTCAAACTAAGGACTTCAGACTCCAAAGTAGACGTCTATAACTCGAGCTTTTCCCGAGTTCTTTCTCTAGTTTGATCCAAAAGAATGATGTCATCAGCGAAAAGCATAAACCAAGGCACATCCTTTTGTATACGTCCAGTAAGAGCATCCATAACTAAAGTAGAAAGATATGAGCTTAAAGCGGATTCCTGATGTAATCCAACAGAAATAGGAAAATAATTGGTCAGTCTTCCTATTGTTCGAACACAAGTAACCGTTATAGTATACATATCATTAAAGACTTTAATATATGTCATATCAGCACCTTTCTTCTCTAGAACTCTCCAAAGGATATTTCTTGGGACCTTATCGTAAGGTTTTCTAAATCAATAAAGATCACATGTAAATCTTTTTTATTATCTCTGTACTTCTCCATCAAACCTCTCAATAAATGTATAGCTTTCATGGTAAACCTGCTCGGCATAAATCCAAACTGATTATGAGAAATTTTTATAATACTTTTTAGTCTATGTTCAATTACCCCCTCTCAACTTAATTCCTCTATAATTTGCACACTCTTGTGCATCCCTTTAATCTTAAAAATGGGTACCAAAATACTCTTCCTCCACTTAGGCATCTTTTTAGTTTTTTAAAAAATACTAATGAGTTTAGTAAGCCAAGAAACTCACAAATCTTCTAATTATTTTCATACTTCAATTGTGATATCATCAAGTCCTAAAAACTTTTCACCCTTAGTTTTCTTTAAAGCCTCAACTCCTATTTTACTAATGCGATGGTAAAAATGAAACATTTTATTATTATTATTATTATTAGGATCACTAAGGTTGATCGTATTTTCAGGAACTTCATTGAAAAATTTATCAAAATAGCTCACCCAACTATGTTGATTATCTTTTTTTAAAGAAAAATACTTTTTGATTTTCATCTTTGATACACTTTACTTGAGTTAAATCTTTACTTTTTCTTCTCTTTGTTTGGCTAGTTTATATATACAATCTTTACCCTTTTACTATCTAATCTATTATAAAGATCACTAATAGCATAACTTTTAACATCACAGATTGTTCCCTTAAACTCCCTATGGGTAATTTTATATTTTTTTTTCAATTCGTTAAGCTTTTACATTTAAATCAATTTTTATAACATAAATTCTTATATTTTATTTTTTCATACACATTATTATGTCACCAACAACTATTTTTATTTATAGAAACCTTTTCTTTTGATTCTCCAAGTACATTCTTTGTCACTTATTTAATAGTATATGTTACTTTATCTCACATATAGTTTACATCTTCATGGACATCTGTTCTTGGACATCTCAAATCATGAAATCTTGAAGTTTATTCATAAAAATAATTTTATTTGTCTTTTAAGTGCTCTATCTAATTCCATGACAATGATTCTTAAAATTCTTTTTTTACAACTCTTCATCTTAAAATTCAAAACTAATAATGGATGTTGAGCACTTAACATCTCACTTGGAATGACCTTACAATATATACATTCTCGACAATCTCTTCTTCTCATACAAAAATAATTAATTTTGTTTTATTAGATTCATTCTTAAAAGTAATAATAATATGCTCATCTCTTTTCTTGAATAAAGTATTAGCAATAATAAAATCATACGTTAAAGTAAAATTTGATATGGCTCTATCTTCTTCATTAATCACTCCAAAATCATAGCTACCATGAATAATTCTAAAATCTTCTACCACTATACCGATATGTCCATTTAAATCTCTTCTAATAAAAACTTTCTCTTCAAAACGTATCATTTTATTAATTCTTCTAAGGGTCCGTTTGGGGGGGATTATTTGCTCATTGTGCGTTTTGAAAACGCAGCCATTCAGTTAGGTTCGAGCTTTTCGGGTGCCCCCCATAAAACGCACATTATTCTTTCTACATTACCGCGGCCCGCACCTAATGCATCGCGATCGAGCGTTTCAAAGGGTTTTTGCATTACTTACTCCTCTGCCTCCTCCGCTTTTTGTAGTTAGTGCCCTAACATTCCTTACTCGCTTTCGCCATTTCGTGCCATTACGTTTCTCGCCCTGAGAAGGGGAGATTTATATCTATCGCGTCCTACTGCCGCGCTCTGAGGAGATCTAACACTTTCTTCCCTCTTCTCGCATTCAATCTGATCGTTCTGTATGTTGTTGTCTTTGGTTACCGTAAGAATCAAGAGTTTCGTATGCACGAATTTGGTTATCTATGGTGGGGTTGTAGGGTCCGTTTAGGGCAGCTGCAGCTTATCCAGCTTATCCTGATAATCTGGTGAGAAGCAGTTGATCCGAATAATCTGTCTGTCTGTTTGGTTTGTGCGTTTTGAGAGCAGTTGATTCTGAATAAATGACCAAACTGCCCCAGTTATGAATAAGCTGCAACTGTTTGGTTTATGCGTTTTATAGGCAGCTTATTTGAAATTTTTTTTACAAATTTTTAATAACATTCTTAATGCAATCATGAAGGGGAGAATGGGAAGATTGAAGAACATGAAAATATTTCACTCAAATATTTCAGATCACATCAGAAATGCACAATTACCTAAACATATGTGAAATACACCGTAACCCACTAGTATGTACTATAATGAGACCCAACAAAGAAGAAAAAATAACATGTCAAAATTATAAGAAAAAAAAATTACAGACTTTAACATGTAGCAGCATATCACAGCTCATTGTGCCCGACTCTGACACTCCAGAACCCATAACGAACCTGTCCGAGTGGGATACCGTAGAAATGGAAGCACTCGAATTAGAAGTGGTGTTCTTAAATTTTGACACCGACAAACTCTGAGCAGCGGTGTCAAGTTGAGTTGTCATAGAAACGGACGTAGTTTTGGCCCACCTAAAGAAAGTGCAGTCCTCCTATACTTGTGCCCACCGCGGGTACCTGTAAAATTACCTCCCGTAGCTATGTGCCCGGCGTAATGTGAGTAGCAAGGTCGGTAGCTCACACCGGCACATCACCTGCCCGGACTTCTCTGAATATCTGGAACTCATCGCCTGAAGTTTAGAAAAAGAACAATAGATCAGTCAAAAAATTCTGAAGATATAGAAAATTTACTTACCGAAATATTGAGGAAACAATTGCCGACAACAAAGTTCTATTGTCATCCAAGTTGCTCCGTAGTTATATCAATAAAATCACTATAGCACAGCCATCTATTCTCATTAAGTTAGGTTTGTGAAAACTGCTTATAGCATCAAACCAGTGCTTCCCCTGGACATCTTCTTCTTCCCATTCCAAACGGAATCATCTTCCCCCCTCTAATTTACTTTTTTCAAGAAATTCAAGAAATCTTTCAGGAAGAAACAATAATCGAAAAACTTCAACGATAAGGCATCACAAAAAAATCCAAATGCTAGTTACGGGTCCGTTTGGGGGGGGGATTATTTGCTAAAATGCACAGCCATTCAGTTTGGTTCGAGCGTTTCAGGTGCCCCCCGTAAAACGCACAATCTCCTTTCTACAGTACCGTGGCCTGCACCTAATGTACCGGGATCGAGCATTTCGAAGGGTTTTTACATTACTTACCCCTCTGTCTCCTCCGCTTTCCGTAGTTAGTGCCCTAATGTTCCTCGCTCGCTTTCCCCATTTCGTGCCCTAACGTTCCTCGCTTTGAGAAGAGGAGATCTATATCTATCGCGCCCTACTGTCGCGCTCTGAGGAGTTCTAACACTTTCTTCCCTCTTCTCCCATTCGATCTGATCGTTTTGTAAGTTGTTGTCTTTGGTTACCGTAAGAATCAAGAGTTTCGTATGCACGAATTCGGTTATCTATGGTGAGCCGTAACTAGCATTTGGATTTTTTTGTGATGTTTTATCATTGAAGTTTTTCGATTATTGTTTCTTCCTGAAAGATTTCTTGAAAAAAATAAAGTAGAGGGGGGGGAAGATGATTCCGTTCGGAATGGGGAGAAGAAGCTGTCCAGGGGAAGCACTGGTTTGATGCTATAAGCATTTTAAACAAGCTTAATGGGAATAAATGACTATGATATAGTGATCTTATTGATATAACTACGGAGCAGCTTGGATGGCAACAGAACTTTGTTGTCGACAATTGTTTCCTCAATATTTCAGTAAGTAAATTTTCTATATCTCCATAATTTTTTGACTGATCTATTATATTTAGAATTCTTTGTTAGTT